ATTTGACGAAAAACGAAGGCATGAATGAAAAAAAAACTATTCTTTTTAAAAGTGTCGCCTATGTATTGACATGGTAAAAGTACTTTCGACATATTTTTTGCTTTTAAATTAACAAAAATATAGCAATAAACAATTAGTGATGTCATGGTTTTACTAGAAAGCAAACATTAAAGGCAGATCCTCTCGACTCTTTATGCATCTATCTCAGTATTGAAATGTATGCAGTTTGACTCTCTTATATTATATTATACAGGGATTATTGATTTATCCACTATGAATAATGGGGTGTATTAATTACTTCAAGATTTTTTTTTATTTTTGGTGGAAAATGAAAAATAAGAAAATATAAACTATTTATTGAAGTATGAATTATAAACAGTAAGGCTATTGCTTTGCAAAATACAATAAATCCCCAATATAAATAAATTATAATAATAATAATTGGAAGGAAGTATATAAAGCATAAATTAATAATATTAAAATTTATAATTACACGACTTTCAAACTAATCAGAATCAGATCACCACACGAATCAACATTTTCCAAAACATTAGCGGCTGTGCCATACAGGTGCAGGAACCGATACAGCAATAGTATATTATGCAACGATCATGTAATGATGGTTATTAATACACGAGCATTAACCGGGATACGAAACGAGCCAAAGGCGAGTTTCGTATAGTTTATGCGAGTGTTTTAATAACCATTACATGAGAGTTGCATACGCTATTTTTTCTACACCCGATAAATAATCAAGACCTATAAATATTATATTTATATTGGTATTGAACACAATAACAGTAATTACTCGTATTTCTATAAAAAATTCTACAAAATTGTAATTAATGGTATTACTTCAGGTATTGGTATTTCCCTAGATTTTTGCGGTAAAATATTTTGTACTGTATTTTCTGCTTTCTCCGATATGTGTGGAGGAGTCTTCTATATCGCTAATATCAGACATTTTAATATTATAATTATCGAAGTTTAGCTACCTACGAAAATTTAATACGTTTTGACAACTAAAATAATTACATAGGAACCTAGGACAAACGTCAAACAGCATGCTTGATTGAAAAATTGTAGGTTTCTATTGATTAAAAATCTGTATCGTAATGAAAAATCTGTATCATAATGGGTATCATTATGAAACGGATTATGGGCATATAAGTGCATTATTATAATACGGGTGTAGAAAAATATATTTTTTTTTCTGCATTTGCAAATTTTGCTTCCACAGTCTAGAATAGAATATTATTGTTAGAATATTGTATAGTATTTTTTTGCATTTGCATGATGTAAGTTCTGTTATGTCTGGTGGAAGGTCGGGCAGAGTCTTAAAAGTGGGTATCAGACTTCCATCTTGATCTACTTTCCATCCATACTCTTTAATATTAGCAAGCTGCATCTGGGTTTAAAGAGGTTAGCCAAATATTTAGCTAGTAAAAACATCTTAAACAATGTAGTCTTAGGGCGTCTTCAGTCGGTCGCAATTTAGTGATGGTTTTTGAAGAGGCCAATAATCCCCTCAAAATGTTAATGGAAGTAACATTGGCAGTTTTAAATAAATTTTTATGAAAATTCTTTCAAGATTAGAGAATATGTTTTCAGAGTACTGATCAATGCCAAATCCATCCAAAAAGTAATGGTGTTCAAGGTAGGTTTTCCAACAGGTTCTTTTCCCAATGCCGGACAATTAGCTGGTTGTATTACAACCGGTCAGAGAATGAAAAGCAGGCACATTTTTATCCAAATTTGTACTGTAGAAATCGTCTTGAATCTCCTCGCCTTGTTCTGAACCATATATCTTTAGTCAAAAACTTCTTAAAATAAATTAATAAGACATCTGTATCGTTGCAATAAATAATACAGCGTGAATGTCCCGAATTTTTGGCTGACAATATGTGCAATAAGATACGATTATTAGCGTCTTCGTGATTTGAATTTAAAAAATCGTCTTTTGATGGTTCAAAATTCTTTCCATATTTATTGATTTTCGCGAGTTTTGAAGAAGTTGCTCTGGCAGAAAACGTGTTAAACGTCTTTTGTTAAATATCGAATGAATAAACAAGTTCTATTGTTGCGGAAGTATCAATTGATTTCTGAAATCCTCTCTTTTGACGTGTTGTATTTTTGATAGAATGTCCTTTATAATGATGAAATACCACATCTATCATTTAAGCATTAAATTTATTTCTAAAAATAATGTTTACAAATATATGAGCATATCCTTTAAATGATATGCAACTTTTGGGCTTTCCTATTTTGATATAATTTTTGTCTTTGCTACTTGCAGCAAAAATTTTAAACGAAAACTTATAACTTACCCAAATATATTCAGCTGCAACAGGATGAATGTAGACATAATAAAGATGCAAAAATGTCTATATTTTTTCCCAATTTATTAGGTAATTTAATATATAACACATACACTTATTAATTCTTTAGTAAAAACAGATAACAATATGACACATTGCCCAATGGAACATAACGAGAAGTTTTATAATAAAAAAAATGAAAAATCCTACCATATCAATAATGTGATACATCAGCCGGCACGTAGAGAGAAACAGAGCTATGCTACGTTTGAAGGTGAAGAGAAAGATACACTGAGAGTTGATAAATTTGGTGGTGAGAATTAATAACAGCATAAACCTATGACATCTCTCATCGTTTATTGTTATATCTTTGTTAATTCAAAAGCAAAAAATATGGTGTTTACTCTGTTACATTGTCAACACATAAGCAAAAATTTTATAAAGAATGTTTTTTTTTTTTCATTTAGGCCTTCGTTTTTTGTTAAATGAGTGGTATATTTAAAAAAGACGACTTTTTAACTAAATTTTTGAAGGGCTAAAACCAAGATATTTACGTTTATATTTTTTTTCGGCCGTAAGTGCTAATGCAAATGATTTTTTTTAAGTAAGTATGAACAATTACTCCCTACAAAGATTTTATTGTGCATTTGATCAAAAAATTAATATTTTTTTCTCTATTCGGTGGTATCAATATCTGGATTTTTGATGATAATGCCCTTCTGCACACTCTAATTTTGTATTAACTCGGAATAAGGGTTACCTTATCATGACCTTTCATCTGTGAAAAATTCAGCCTTGTGAGGTGAATCGTTTTCTTGAGCGAATATTTTAATACATACACTTTATTAACAATGACAACAGCGGATATTATGTCCTACTGTGTCCCTTAGAATATGTCTTATTCACGGCCGCACGATATTTGTTAGTAGTTACATCTCCTGGTTATCTCTGGGGCCCATCTGTTAGTTTCTTCTATAAATTGCTATTGATACTACACGGTTCAATATTTTTAAATGACTGTTGCTTTATTCAAGAGAGTACACCTTCCGATTACTTATTGAAATTAGTTTTAGTTCAATGGCTGCCGGGGTTGGCTAGGCAGTAGCCTGTGACAATACCTTTATTTGACATATGATTTAGTAAGATGGAACAATTAAGACTTCCAGCATCCTTGTCATTTGATGGGAATGTTACAGAAAGTTTTAGGAAATTCAAGTAAAGTTTTGAAATATACCTCGTAACTAGTGGAAAAGAAAAACGGAGGATTCTAAGAAGGTAGCACTAAATCTAATGGGTGAATAAGCCCTAGTAGTGTAAAATACATTAGAACTAACAGATGCACAGAAAAAAGTCTATAAAATAGTTATGACAGACACAGAATCCTTTATGACTCCAAAAAGGAATGGAGTTTATAAACGATTTTTATTTTATAACCGAAAACAAGAAGAGGGTGAATCATTTGATCACTTTGCAGATGATTTCATAAAATTGGCTAAAACCTGTTAGTTTGAAGGTATAGCAGACTCTATAATTCGAGATAGGATAGTACTAGGATTTAAAATCAATGAGTTGCAAGAAAAATTATTACATTGTGACAAATTGAGATTAAAAAATGGCTATAAAAATATGTAAAGCAAATGTAACTACAAAGGCTTATTTAAAACAAGTATTGAACAAAAGTGAGGTAAAAGTGGAGGTTGTACATGGAAAAATGAATCAAAAAGTAAATTATAAAGAGCCCACTGAAATAGGAAGGCAGAGAAAAGAAAGAGATGGAGAGGTCAACTTAAAAAAAACATTGTATTTCTAAAAAGATTTCGGGTGTTCCGACCATTTTAAAACTTATTTAACTATTTAAAGGAAATTACGTATTTTGGGGAAAAAAGCAAATCCAAGATTATGAACTAATTACTTGTTTTTTCTGTTTTATTTTATTTTTTATATTAATAGAATCATAAATTATTTTTAAGACAGTTTTATCTTAATAGCCTCTAAATTCAGTTTTAACATTTTTCGTTAATAAGTCGTAGTAAAAATACACAGTACAATTCGAGTTCATATCGCACTCAGAAAATTGAGCACTCCGCCTACAGCGTTTTACTTAAACTTCGCCTTCGTGCGATATGCCCATCATATTCACACTCTCGTTGTACAAATTACAAAAAATGTAACTCACCAATTTTTGAGTAAATTATTTTAAAAAGTTTAAAAATTTTGATACACTGAGAAAAAATGTATTCTCTTATCTAGTTTTAAAAATAAATTAACTGTTACAGATACAACACATTGCTGAAATATTTTTTTATTAATAGTAAAAAATATTTTTTCATTTAATAATAATTTAAGAAATATTTATTATGATTTATTTGTAGTGACCAAGTATCTATTAATATCTACATAAGAATATACTTTACAATAATTAAGAAATATTTATTTTTATTAAAATTATGATTTCTTGTTGAAATCAATAACATTACATAATTCAGGCTATATCCAACACAGTTATTTGTTAATTATTATTAAATCTTAATAAATTTTCCTTGATACCTTGTTTTCTCAGTGTACCTTGCATATTTAAAACGCAACATTTTAGACCGAGGCGCGGTCGGATAAAATGTTTTTGCCATTTTAACGAGTACTACATGCTGTAGAAATACTATTTAAGAAACACCTTCGACTTACCTATAATAGTCCTCTTTACAATAAATATTTCCATCCCTTGCGAAACACGTCAAGTCCGAGTCCAACGGCAATTTACATTCGCAACATTTCAAGCAAGCAGCGTGCCACTGCCTGTCCACCGCCAAAAGATAGAACCTATCTTGGATTCTGTCGCCACAGCCCGCACAGGCCGAAGCCTCGATCCCTGAGGAACCCCCGAGACTCGAACAAGGCGAAGAAGTATTTTCGCGCTCCTTCAACATCTTTTAATAAACTGATTCCTGCGGCTGGCGAAAACGCTTCTTGTAGCAATTCTGAAATGGAAAAATAAAGTGAGAAAAATTTTTGAAACAGTTAAAACTAAGTAGATGGGTGACTGGTTGGCTGGCGTGCTAATATGTTAGAGGCGCCCGATGAATTGACGACGATGTCGATGATGGCGCGGAAGAAACCAGGATGTTAGTGTCTACGGCGCGTTGAGTATGACCTGCTTTTAGAAGTCTTTGTTAAATTTATGTTATATCTGATGAGGTAGGTGTTATTAAAGGTAATATGGAAGATAAATGGTAATATAAAATATAGAAGATTAATGGTTTTCAAAGTAGGAGAAAATTGCTATTTGAATTTAAAATAAATGTATACAATTAGATGTGTAAAATGAAACGTATAATCTTTTAGACTACAAATTAAATTTGAAAGTAAAATAATAATAAGAATACAAAATAATCTTACATGCCAATATTTTATAAATAATCAGAAATTTTTTTTGACCGTTGGTACTAGAAACCAAAAAATATTCAGGGACATCGATCCTTGATTTCACGGGAAAATTTTCCAATTGGTATGAAATCCATTGCTTATTTTCCAGTGGTATTTTAAAACGGTATTCTCTACTAGGTTAGGAATGTAATGTCTGTGGGAATTTTGATTATTTGTATATCCAACGTATGCCTGGTATTAAATATGAAAATATTGGAAACTGACCAATAATAATCAAGATATTTCAATACTTTCAAGTTGTTGTGTTGGAAACATTGATTTTTCTCATGTCAATGATAATAAATAATGTCAATTTTTGATTCTTGTTCTTTCCTTGTGTTAAAAAGATTGTTTTCATATCTGCAAGTAGATCAGAGGCCGCCTATCTTTTGATAGTCTAAATAATTTTGGTTTCATTTAAAGATTTAAAGCGATCTTCTGCCTCATTTTTCCACTCAGTCCAAAAATATCTTGGGGCATTATTTGCTCTTCTTCCATATTTTCAATAAATCTATCGCCACGGGTGAGTTTTCAGATTATCGGAAACTATCTTATGTCAACCCAATATACAAATAGGGTAGCAAGTCAGACGTCAAAAATTACCAACCTATGTCTATTATCATTACTATCCTTAAGGTTTTTGAGAACATTATAACAGACTACCTTACCTATGACTGCTCTGGCATCATAACGGATCATCAATATGGTTTTTGTGCTGGGATATCGACTGAATTAAATCTAGTCACCTACGTCGACTTTCTGTCGGAAGCTTTGGAGAAGGGTTGCCAGATTGATTTTGTGTACACTGATTTTTCTAAGGCTTTTGACAGGGTCAACCATTCTCTCTTACTCGATAAATATGGCATAAATTGCAATGGATTAGTAGCTATTTTACGAACAGAACTCTAAATGGTTAGAGTAAACCATCACTATTCTAACTCATTTCAAGTTACCTTAGGTGTTCCTTAAGGATCACACCTTGGTCCCTTATTATTCAACTTATTTGTAAATGACATAATTCATTGTTTTTAATATGGCAAAGCACTATTGTTTGCAGATGATTTAAAAGTTTTTCTATATACTTTTAGCCATCTATACTTTTAGCAGCTGTATTCCAAGAATGTTAAGATTAACCAACACTCATAACGATCTTGAGATATTTAACACCCCCTTTCATAAATTAATAAGGCAATTACTTAGTGCTGAGCTTTAATCTTTGATCTTTAATTTTTAATGTTTAATGTAAATATTTTATTTAACCTTATTGTCTTTTAACTTTTTAAATCTTTTAAATTATTCACCAATTTTAATCTATATGTAATGAATTATACCACGATTGTATTTCAGCACAATATATATTTCACTACATTTTAATTATAATTTATTTCTCAAATGGGCTTGCCGAAAAATAACTAAATAAAAAATAGCAAATGTCAATGGTAACAGATTAACTTTGATTCAGTAGAATATATTACCAATATTCCCATTGGAAAATTGATTTCCCATACCCATACCCATACCAAGAGAATTTGCTGCTTTACTTTTGATGAGAAAATATTCCTAGTGGATGTGTCCAGAATACTACAAAATATAAATTCCCATTGGAAACTATATTTTTCCCTTGGGAAAAAAGTCGAGAACTGAGGACCAGGGGGTCGATGTGACTTGTAGAATTTTGATTTTGACAAAAATTAATTTCTGCGACAATATAACTACAAAGACGGCCGGTGCGACATGGCTCTGGTTCCCCGTTCTTCCTGCCAATTATTCCTGATCCACTCCAACTAGAAAAAAGTTAATGAACAACGTGGTTCAACTTCAAGAAGTAAAATATCATGATAGAGGAGGCCTGCAAGTGACAGTTACGATTCATATTTACACCGAAAGTTCTGAACGAAAACAAGGTTCATTGTGTGGAACAGAGGCGGCTCGTGACCTAGTCTACAAAGAGGCTACGGAGGCTACTTTTGGCACACCCTATATACTTAATACAAATATATATTTCTATAAGAATACAAAAAGCAGAAATAATATATTGTATTCTATTAGAAATATATATTTGTATTAAATATATAGGGTGTGCCAGCCTTCTCGTAGACTAGGCCACGAGCCGCCACTGGACTAAGGAATATACTCCAACTATTTTAACCTAAACAGAAAATTGGCAATATTTATAGATAGCAAACAAGATAGCAAACAGATAACAAACAGATAGCAAACAGTTAGAAAACAGATAGCAAGAAGATAGCAAAAAGATAGAAAAAAGATAACAGATAACAAACAGTTAAAAAACAGATAGCAAAAAGATAGCAAAAAGACAGCAAAAAGATAGGAAACAGCAAACAGATAGCAAAATATAACAAATAGCAAATAGATAGCAAATAGATAGCTAATAGATAGCAAAAAGAAACTAATCTCTCTGGACATAGCACAAATTTACTGTTAGTGCTAAAACATCACCAGGCCTATGTCAAAGTATCCATAAACAATGTGGTGACCGTAAGTTGAACCAAGGTTTACGTCACATTGAAAGGAGCACATCTTGCCAATTCACTAGCCAAGAAGGAAACCAAGCAAATACTTTTTGGACCTGGCCTTTGACATATTTCGGCGACGTTGTCATTCTTTTGCATTTCATCCTGGGGCATGTCCCAGGTATCTTTAGTCCTGAAGCAAGTAGACTTTCGTCCTTGAAACAATATTTTTTTAGAAATTTAGTTTACTTATTATTTGAAATAAAATGAATTTAGCTCAAATACAATATCACATAAAATATAACGACCGTTTCCCCTTAAAAAAACACACAGATGGCGACACCGTTTCACTACTTGAATTCTTATTCTCTTCATAACCAACTTTATGGTATACTGGTGAAATGTGTAGCATTTGTTAATTCCATTAGAGACTGAAATTGAAAACCTATCTATTTCTTGCTGAGGAGTCTTAATAAGGAAGAAACCGGTCCAAGAATGATGTTCTCCTTGATAAGCAAAATCAAAGTAGAGAGTGTTGAAAATTAATTTCTATCTCTGCTGTCTTTCCTTCGGATGTAATTCAATGCCTGTTGCGGTATTAGCCAAAGGAGTAGTTGTTTTTTGAAGGGGAAACGGTCGTTGTATTTTATGTGATATTGGCTTTGAGCTAAATTCATTTTATTTTATTTTACGTCTATCACATCTGAGTTTTGATTTATTTTCGTCTAATTAATATTTGTTAGTTAAATAACTAGGCCACTTCTTCATTTATAGTTTGATCCGGATAGTTTTACAAGATCTGTACTATATTGCCGTAATATAATACGATATTTATGTTCTGGTAGTTTACACCTTATTTTTTTATTTTAATGTAGATCTATAACAATAATGTTTCCATGATGTGTTTTGTTAAGGAATTATTTTAAATATTCGCCCTAACAAATCGTCCTTCCATAACATCATCATAAAGATAGAATCCTGTTGAACTAAAATTTCCTTTAACACACAATGGTTTACAAAGTTCTTGTTTACAAAGCAGTTCATATTAATATTTTCCAAAAACTGTATACGTAGTTAAATATTGTGTAATTTAATAATAGAATGATGATAGCCCAAATACTCAACAGATTTAAGAATGCTCTACATGATCATTTATCTATAAATATTAACATATTTGTAAATGATTTTTTCAGTACATTGATGTGATGTATTCCAAAACTTGGAGCAAGATATTTTGGGAGCATAATTGTAAATCGCTCGCTATAAAAATTTGATAATTTTTAATGCAAAGTCCAGAAATGTAAGAATTATTAGACGTTTTACGATCTAGTAGTTTGTGGAACAAAAGTGGATATGATAATTCAGATATGGACACTCAACAATCAAACTGCTACGATAACATCTTATAATTTTTTGTGATTTATTAAGTCTTAATAATTGAATTATTTTATTACAATTTTCTAAAAATCTAAGGATTCTTTGTAAATTTAATTAATAAAAGTTTTGTATTCTTGACAGAGTTTTAGGAGCTAGCCCCGATAGCCTGGTTGAACATGATTTTATTATAGAAGTGAAATGTAGTTTTTCTTTAAGAAATACCTCAATTGAAGTAGGAGCACAGCTTATACAATACAGCTCCACAACTCCGTGTCGGCGTCTTTGATCTGGCGGTCGAGAACCAAGCAAGACGGAATGGTGCTATCTCTGTTAGATTCAAGGGAAAAGTCGGGCCCGGATTAAACAATTTTTTTATTATTGAAAAAATTGAAAACCTTGGCGTAATAAGGTTGGTCACATGCCATATTAAGTAAGTTTTGGGAAATTACATTTTTAATTTGTTTTAAATCTTTCAAATATAATTAAAAAAATTATTTAAATATAAATATTACGAAAAATAGCACATCTTTCGGATTAGAGGTAAAATAATTTATATATGGCTAGTAAAATCCTCGTTAACAAATGTTTTGAGCTAAAACAGTCACTTCACGACAAATTGTGGCTTGGATCCATTTTACACCAAGGGCTTCAATTGTTAAAGAATTGTGTCACGCTCGTGGATGCAAATCAAGTGGTACCCCCATGT